GTCTTGTGGTGTGTATTCTTTTTCAGCTTTATTCATATCTTGTTGTTAATTATAGGATTTGCCATCATTGTGTGTATATTTGTTTGGATTTCTGTTTCTACCCAACATATTGGCATTAGGAGCTTCCGCTGTGCCCAACAAGCGGTATCAGAGCCTAGGTTGCAAACAAGGGTCTTTTGGGATGGTTTCCAGATCTATGAGATATGAGTTTAGAAATTTGATGAAAAGAACAAGTTTGGGATGTGGCAAGTTGAGGTGAAGGATATTCTTGTTAAGGAATGTTTGATAAAAACCTTGGATAATAATCCTAATCCAATGAAGAAAGACGAATGGGAAACGTTTTCTATACAAGCTTGTTCTACGATCCGATTGTGTTTGTCAAAGGAGATCAAGCATAACGTGATGACAGAGACATCAGCAAGGGAGATTTGGGAGAAGCTTAAAAAATATTATTTGGAAAAGTCGCTTAAAAATTGGATCAATCTCAAGAAAGAGTTCTACTGTTTCAGCATGAAGGAGGGTTCTACGATGCAAGACCATCTCTACGAGTTTAATAAGCTTCTCTTGGAACTATTAAACATGGAGGTAAAATTGGATAATGAAGACAAAGTCTCGATTCTCTTGGCTTTTTTTCCCATGAGGTATGATCACTTGGTAACTACTATGTCATATGGGAAGAAGACTGTAGTCCTGGATGAGGTCAAATCAACACTTCTTTCTCATGAGAATAGAAGGAAAGTGTTGGAGATTGATAGAGATGGAGAGGCCACAGTCTTAATTAGCTGCAAGGGGGAGGAAAGAAAATCGAGGCTCAAATTCAAATAGCTCTAAGTCCAAATCAAGGAATTACAAGGACAAAAAGTGTTAATACTGTCATGAGTTAGGGCACATCATTATGCAATGTCCCAAACTGAAGGTAAAGAATGGGAATAGCAAAAAGAAGGTCCAAGAGGCAGATTCTGTGGTAGTTGCTACAACAAGTGATTCGGAAAAGGATGATTATGTTCTCATGGCAACTTCGTGTTCAAGTATGTCATTTAATGACAATTGGATTCTTGATTCGGGTTGTTCTGTTCATATGTGTCCCACTAGGGATTTTTTCTCCTCTTACAAAGAAGTGAAAGGTGGTTCTATTTTGACGGCGGATGGAAAAGCCTTCAAAATTTTAGGAATTGGAACAGTCAAGATCAAGAAGCATGATGGGTTGGTGAGAATATTGTCAGGTGTGCGACATGTACCAGATTTGAAAAAAAGCCTTATTTCAGTAGGTCTGCTAGACTCCAAAGGTTACAAGGTTATAACAGAGGGCGGAGTTATGAGGGTCGTGATGGGTTCTCTCATGGTGTTACAGGGAATCAAGGTGGGTAACTTTTATATTCTCCAAGGGAATACAGTAACAGATGGAGCTATTATGTAGTCTTCTACAGTAAGCAGAAATTTGCATTCAAGTCTTGGAAAAGGAGGAGTTACAGAAAATAGTGATGATCTTAGTTCTCAAAAGGGTTGTGAGGGGGTTACACAACATTATGGGAGGATGAAATCCGTTTTCAGATGGCAACCGAAATTGCAGTAGTCCTTACAAGGAGGCAGACTTATGAGGACAGATGTGGTAGTGACTTGTAACAATCTTGGTGGACATAATATAGCCCGTTTGAGTGCCATTAAGATTCGTGGGAAATAAGTAATTGATCACATTAGAGATGCGAGGGAAAGTCAGGGACATCTTATTCTCCACAAGGGTGATAAGATGACTTTTCATTACCAACCGGCGGTTTGTGGGCGGTTGGCGAAGGTTACTAGAAGAGATGTCAAATTTAAAGCTTCCGATGGTGCTTTTGATAAGCATTTAGAGTTTGACAAAAATACTAGAGGCATACTTGTAGCTGCGCAAGACGTGTTTGGGTTGAAGAAGGAGATCCCAAGGGTTAGATTTGAGGAGGACTCAAACTTAACTAAAATTCTTCATTAATTTGGTTTTTTGATGGCGATGATGATGACAATAATGATGACGTTTTTATTATTATTATTATTACTCACATTCGGGTGGAGAGAGACTTTTTATGGTGGTGCCTTATTATTTGTGTCAAGGTGGAAAAGTATATAGAGTCAAAGAATCTTTATATTTATATTACTCACATTTGGGTGGAGAAAGACTCTTTATCGACGTCCTATTTCTAATTCTCTTTTCTGAATTCTTTTACCGTCTGATTTAGAGAGCAGTCTTATTGTAATGAGAGGCACCACAAGAAACATACACCTTTTTATTGGGTATATAAGACAGCTTTATATTTTTCACAACCACTGGCAAGATAAGTCGTACTTGTATATCTTTCATTTATGCTTCCATTGCTGTATGTGTGCTTGTTCTAGTTTTCTTTTCTTCATTGCTCTATGTTCTCATTTCCCGTACTTTTGTTTAGATTTGTAAAGCTCTACTACACCCAATTTTACCTTCTTTTTGTTTTTTTGTTGTAGGGGAATGCCACCTTGTAGGCTTGTAGCCTTGGTTATGGTTTTTTATTTATATATATATATATATATATTCTAAAATTACCGGCCTTAAATAAATAAAATTTTAAATAATCAATATTGGTAACATTTTTTTTTATATACTACAAATTATCTTGACCTTTTTCAATTTATTAAACTTTTATATCCAAAAGTAAGATGTGCTGACTTCTGCAATTCAACATATATTTGTAACTTTTTTAATATATAGTCTAGTTTGCACTTCCTGTGATGAGAAAACATGTGAATTTTTTTCAACCAATATAACCACCATATCTTGAACATTTGCCACAAATTATGCATACACTTCCCAAGTCACGTTTCATTAAATCAGGCCAAATAACAACAAAGGGAAAAATAGTCCTAAACAAGGGTTAAGTGTAAAAAAAATCCCCGTACTATTTATATAAAGCAAAAAAGTCTTTGTATGATATAAAATATCCATTTACCTTTAATTTGGTATGAATACCCACCGTTTACATAAAAAGACTATAATACTCTCTTGTCAATAAAATAAAATAATATTTAAAAGATAAAATATATAATACTCTCTTGTCAATAAAATAAAATAATATTTAAAAGATAAAATAAGGTAAAATTACCATTTTAGACGAGGACACAATTGTAATAAACTCCCTAAACTATAAAAGTTTCAAAAAATATCCTAAACAATAATTTTTATTACAGATATTTATGACCATAGTACCTTATGAAAGGGCAATAATAGCCTTCTTTGTTGATGTAGACCAACAAACCCAAACGCCACCTAAACCTAATTTCCCACAACCCAAACACAGCCTTATGCCCATCTGTCACTGTTCATCTTCTTCAACGCGCACAATGTCACAGCCCAAACAGGCAAACGCCCAACCCATCTACAGAAGTTAACCAAGAAACCTCCATTAACTTCTTTCTTTCATCTCCATACCAAATGGTTCTGGTACCGCCGCCAACAAGACGTGGTCGCCAACGGCCTCCCCACCCGATGTCGCCGTCGCCGCTTCGACTTTGCGCTCGGCCATGTAGAATCAACCGCCACTGCCGCCCTCGGTCGCGATCTCTATCCCTCAGTCCTCAAATCAATACCCATATTAGAATTCAATCCCAAATCATTCAAAGACAGATTGGAATGTGGTTTCAAAATCAATCCCATTCCACTTGCCTTCTCTGTCGAAACCCTGTTTCGACCCAAAATATCAACACTCCTGAATCATCACTGTTAGACTACAGAAGATAGCTCATCTGTTAATGGGTATTCAACAAAGTCCCCAAAATTTCCAGAAAATGTGTCGTTTTGGGGGAATCAGAATCAAGTTAGCACTTCGGCTTCTTGTTTGGAAGAAGATGATCGTCAATGTCCTGTTTTTTCTTCTTCTTCATTGTCGTTGTTCGCTACAACAATTGCTCGTTCCTTGCTTACGAATGTCATCGATTGGCATCGGACCCAACCCAGACTCTCCGTGCCATCGTTGATGCTATATTCTGAACATAGAGAGTCGGCATTCCCACCAATTGACGTCAGCGTTCACTTCCAACTCACACCCTTGTCTCTAGCGAATTCTATCTTCGGAAGCTAGGTCACACTCCTTTATCACATCTCTCACCGGTTACTCGTCATCGCTGGGAGCTTTCTCTGGCCGTCCTTCGGATTTTTGCTGTGGGTCTACTTATGTGGAGTTGGCTCACTTTGTTTTTGTTCACGCGGCAGCTTCACATTTTTTTTTTTCTTTTTTTAAGTTTATCTTCCATTTATGCTTCCATTGCTGCTCTATATTATTACTTCCCAGAATCCCCCGCTTTTTGTTTACTTTTCATGTAAAGTTTCACCGAATCCTTACCTTCTTTTTAGTTTCTTTGTTATAGTATTCGGAATACCCCCTTATAGCCTTGTTTATGTCTTTTATTTTTATTATTATTTAATTGGTTTGCGTGATAGTTTATAAATTACCTTAATAAAGAAAATTTTCAAAAAATTAATATTCATAACATTGTTTTACATTTTAATATTACACAGTATCTTGGGGCCTTGGTCTTTTTCTTATTATTATACTTTTAAGCCAAACTCAAGACTCCATTGTAATGGAAGATGTGCCTCTCCAATTCAACACTATATTTACAATTCTTTTTAATACATAGTATTGTTTACACTTGTATTTTCAATCAATATGGACCTATATATCTCATGGTGTTGACAATCTTTGCTCTTTGTGTTTTTTTTTTGGTAGCGACAATCTTTTTTGTTATATTCCTTGCATTCTTGAACACATGCCACAAATTACGCATACATTTCATCTAAGTTAAACTCCATATCCATTTATATAATATTGGAACCTTATTGAATTTCACACAATCTAGCAAGTCCAATTTTACAGATAGAACAACAGTACAATATTCGAATTCAATAATACAATCAAATAATTAAACCTGACAAATGCAAGCTAAAACAACATAAAGTTACTTATAAAAAACTGAAAATACTAGAAGCATGACAATCAAAAGAATGCCAAATGTTTAAGCCATCCCTCCATGACAGCTAGTTTCCGTGCAGGGCGTGTGGCTGACATTGGGGACGGGACAGGACCAAAAGTACTCCCAACAGGCTCAGATGCTGGAGATATAGATTCAGACAGAACAGTTATTGCGAGCTTCTGATTTCCTACCGCGCAATGCTTGGCAATACCACAAATGTACCATTTTCTCCCGGGAGTGGCAAGGGTGATCACATCACTTCCGGTGGTCAGAGCCTCACTCACTGGTGGCTTGCTGCACTCTTGGAAGACAGTTCCATTGACTCTGAAGACGTTGTGTGCTCCCACCGGATATTTGAAAACTGCATTGGATAAAATAAATAAAAAATTTAAAAATGATTTCAAGTAATATTTTCAAAATATGGAATTGTTTCATAATGGTTTTAGTTTAAGTGAGTTTTCTTGAAGATCGTGAAACTTTCCTTCTACAGTTTACAATGCAAAAATAAAAATAGCAAGCAATGTTATAAAGAACTAAGAACTAGGAGAGAGTATTACAGAGCTAAGATAAAATACCTAATTTGTCTCCGACCACGAACTCCTTTCCCTCGGCCCAGGCTTGGTAATTGAAGTAAGGGGTCCAACCATTGTCATCACCTACAATAAATTCCTTTGCAGAAATAGAAGTGAAAAGTAGTGCAAGGATGGCAATGAAAATGATCTGGGAAGAGGCCATTGCGACTTTTTTGGCTCGATTTTACTAGTTGAATTTCTTGAAGTGGCTTACTAGATTGCTTGCCACTGATGGTTGAAAATGAAAGTCTATTTATAGAATTCTAATGCCAAGAGGAAAGAATATGCATGGCCGGCTAATGGGCAGTGCAATGCCTCTACTGTGGCCAAAATGCTGACATCCAAATTAAATTATGCATGTAGCTAGAGCTATTCGTTTTGGCTATTACTAGCTATGACTGGGTCGACATTGTATAATAAAAACTAAAATTTTAGAAAATCAATCGTCCTTAATTGACTCTGTCGTACGCAGAAGCATTATGGAGATTACAAATGGTCACTGACGTTGAGTTTCGCAAATGAGAATCAAGTTGCTGTTGGGGGTGGTAAGTGCTAGTAATTACCAAACCCTCCCAGAGATTTAAGACTTGGTCTAAGTTATATATTGTATTAACAGAAAGACTTGATCATGATTGGAACATAGCTTACCTACACAGCTCAAGAATGCTGTACAAGTGGAACAATTTCGTAACAATTGTATAAAGGAGAGCAACCAAATTAATTTTATTGGTGACTATTATTGTGAAAATTAACAGAAAAGTACAGATTTACGTGATTTACCCAAATCCGGGCTATGTTTATGGAGGCGCCACAGAGTTAATAATAGTCACCAATAAAATTATTCTAGTCTACTTTTGGAACCTGACCATTTAGCTCATGCCAAGCTAATTTTGAAAATAAAATTACCATCAGGTGTTAACAGTTCGAAAAACATTGTATTCCTTGAAGTAACAAAATCACTATGGATTGTGTGTGTGTGTGTGTATATATATACATATATATATGTATATTTGCAATAACAGAGTTAATTTGAATCGGGTGTTGCTTGTAAAATCAATTATAGTTCTGGTACCATTTTTATAAGCAATGGGCCAATATGTGCTATCCATGCAAGTGAAGCATTCTCTGGATGCAATGATCTCTATCCATAATCCATGGTCAGATCAACCTTGCGTTGAAAATTCGAAGCTAGGTTGCAATCTCGGTTAGGGAAGGAAACAGCCGTTATGGCTCCCAACGGTTGTGTGTGTTTTGACGTTGGGCCGTATGGCTTTTGTTTCGGCCCAAATGTATTTGAGTAATTAATTATTCAATCTCGCACTACCTGTCAAGCAGTCTAACTATATTTTTTCGAACAATGATCATTATTTGACAAGAAAATGTCAAAAAATAATTAATTCAAAATACAAAATAACTTTATGAAATTTTATAGGCAACTTGTTTTCTTGAGTATTTAAGAAAATATTTTACAGAAATTTTTTTTTTGCTATTTTTAGGATAACCAAACACCATAAAATAAATATATATATATATAAAAATATTTTTTGATTTTTTCAAAAAATATTTTACGTGGAAATACGATGCCTACATCAAAACTTCTTATCCATTCATACAATCATAAACCCTACCAATTTTCCCACAATGCAACAACTCAAGCTAACATCAGTTGGGAATAAAGAATAGAGAGGAGGTTGTGCATTAGTCTTTTTCTCTCTCTAAATTTTTTTTTCCCCCCTAGAAATTCCTGAAAAAATTCTGTGCATAGAGTTTGTAGTTTGTACTGGATTTTGGGTTCTTGGGTTGTCTGATTGGACTTGTTTAGTGTTCGGCTTGTCCTATATGGAATGCCAATCCGTTTGGGCTTTTCTTTTGCCTTTGGGCCACACGGTACATTATTATACATACAATTTGCTTTACCGGTCAAAAAAATAATAATAATAAATAAATAAACCAGTAAGACATCAACGTACGACACTTTTATGTAACCAATGAAATACATTAATATTGAGAAAATTTCTCAATTCAACTGAAATAGTTTAAAAAACAAGAAAATTAATTATTCAAATTAAAAAGTATAACTCAATAAACTTGACAAATGCTAGTCAAATCAAATACAACATGACGGATACCAAATTAAAAATCTCAAACCATATGAAGAATCCCATATATCCCTACATTTGTAGAAATGGATCCATCCTTAGTTTCTAATTGCAGCTATTTTGCGGGCAGGGTACCATACGGCTGGCATTGGGGCCGGCACTGGAGATGAAATTGCACCAATTGGGAAAGGAAAAGATGGCGCGGGAGCTAAATTCTGTTGAGGTTGCACAGTAATGGCTAGTTTTTGTTCGCCATACGCACAATGCATGCCAACGCCACAAATGTACCATTTCTTCCCGGGAGTGGCTAGGGTGATCACATCATTTCCGGTAGTCATAGCTTCACTGGGAGGTGGCTTCATGCACGCTTTGAATGCAGTTCCATTTACTTTGAAAACGTTGTGATTTCCCACAGGATATTTGAAAACTGCACACACACACACACATATATATGAGAGATTAAATTGATTGAAATGATTGGCTTTTTAGAGTGACTATCAAGCTAGTCTCATTTCTAAAATTTCAAAAATTATAGAAATACTATAGATAAAGTACCTAGTTTGTCTCCGACCACAAACTCCTTTCCGTTGGCCCAATCTTGGTAATCAAAGTTTACGGTCCAACCGGCATCATCTCCGACAATGAATTCCTTAGCAGAAACTGAAATGGAGAGTGCAAGGATGGCAATGATGATGATATGGGTGGTGGCCGCCATTGTATTATCTCAACTTGTGTTTTCTTGGAATGAATTATCAGAAGTGGGTACTACGATTAGGAGATGAAATGGTGTCTATTTATAGATTTCTTATCCGAACAGGAATGCAATTATGCAATTGAACCGGCATGGCGGGTCCCAATTCATCACAAAGATCAATGATACAATACTTAAAATAATAATAAAAAGTACATGTCACACCCAAAAAACTGCAACAACAAATTTTTATTAGGACGGTAATGATACTGAGTTATTCCTGAATAAATAAATTTCACAGATGACACTTTTATAGTAAGTTTATAGTGTAATTTCAATTTGAAACAAATACGTCCTTATGATGCATTTAAGTTAGAATTTAACTAAATTATTTTTATACACACATTTTACATATTATTAAAAAATACATCATTTTATGAAATGAAGAAAATAATCATTTAGTACATGAGAGTGTCATACGCACTGTAAGCATATTATAAGGATGTCAAACATATTATAAGTATATTATATGGGTATTTTTTGTACTTTATAAACTATTGTTGTGTTGAATCTTTTGATCTCAACAGTTAGATTTAATTGAGAATGTAATTTCATAGCGATTTGAATAGCATGATAACAGTAGGGGATTGAACATCTATTTATTTATTTATTTATTCAATAAAGATTGAATTCCCATGTGTTGTTATGTAAATAATTATATATATATATATATATATATATATATATATATATGTAAAAATTTATTACAAATTCTAAAGTTTAAAAAATTAAATGTATATTGTTTATATATAATGAATAAGTATCTTTAATTTATTTTTTAATTATATATTTAATGAAAACGGATAACTATATTAAAATTTTATTGGAATTTTTTTTTCTTTTTTATAATTATAAAAGGAATTGAAATTTTCATTCCATATAATATACAATTGTGACAATATATATATATATATATATATATATATATATATATATAAAGAGAGAATACGTTGGTAGCAGAAATATATAGAGAAATTATTTTTCAAAAAGGTAAAAGAAAATGGTTAAAAGTGGGTTAAAGATAATTAATGTGCATATAATACCTTTATACTATAAGATTATTAACATACACATCTTCTTAGATATTTTTAAAAGGGTAAAAAGACAAAACGAATATTATATCATTACTTTATGTCATATTTCTTATTAGAGAGTGTTTTCGCACAAGTTTAGTATAAAAATATCTTTAGCACACTGTTTCAAATAAGAAATAAAAGCACTATACAAAGTATAGATTCGGATTTCTGCACTTTACTTTCTATCTATGCATGTTTGTCTGTATGCAAATGTAGGCGTAAAGTTACAAGTTACAGTTCAATTTATAGAGTTTTTAATTCTTTAACATTAGGGAACCAACCGGCCAAATTAACAATGAATGTTTAAAATATACATATGGGTTGAGCTGTTCATTTATCCTGTTACTATGACTGGGTCAATGAACAAGAAAAATTACAACGATTACAAAATCTCTCTGATTTGGTCTTTTAAAACATTGAAACTCTAATTGGCATTGCTTCATGGGAGTATTTAATCAGGCTGTCGAATTTGAATTAAATTAATTTTTTTTAATTTTTTAATTTGAAGGACTAATTCGATACTCTCAAACTTAATATATGTATTTTGTGATTGAGAATTATGGTTGTTAATTGAATACCAGCACAGAAGGTGCTGCTTCAATTTCTTTGGATTGATAACTTTAAAGGATTAGCTCTCTACTAGATATGGTTGTTAATTGAATAGCACCTTTTGTGCTGCTCAATTTCTTTGGATTGGTAACTTTAAAGGATTAGCTCTCTACTAGATATGGTTGTTACTTGAATACCAGCACCTTTTGTGCTGCTTCAATTTCTTTGGATTGGTAACTTTAAAGGATTAGCTCTCTACTAAAATCCACAATCCACTCTTTAATTATTATAGTTGTTTATGCTTTTTCTAGTTTAGTGATAAATTAATAATTGAACTACACAAGTTTTTCAACAATTTTTACTCTCATGAAGGACGTACACAGGTAGTGTTATACATAATTTATGTATATAATATGAAAATGATAGGTCTTTCAACGTTAATTGTCGACTCTTCTTATTAATACAACGTGGTTGGACCCCATTGAAACTCTTCAAAAAATTCCCGTAAACATTTTTTTATTTTTGACTCATTCCCAACCACGTTATATTCGGAGGAGTAGTCGGCAATTGAAGTCGGAAGATCTATCACTTCTTATATAATATATATAAACACATACAAATGGATACTTCAGTCATTTATCATAATAATTTGAAGACATTTTAGTAAATTATATAAATTCGTTAGTGTATTTGACGGACCGTGACTAAGACGAGAGGTCCGTATAAGTTAGGTTCATTTTTAGAAAAGATCCATTTTATTTTGCAAACTATAGTAGAGATTTCTAGAATTATGACAAACCATAGCAGAGGTCCATGTATTTGACGGATTTTCACAAGTTTTTCAACAGTTTTCATTTGATTTTAAAACTGATGAAACACCGAAGGGCCTGTTTGGTAAATATGTGGTTTTTATATTTGGGTGTGCTTTCATTTATGTAAAAATGATAAGTTTTAAAAAGTTGTGCAATTATTTCTGTCAAAAAGTAAATACCTTTGGTAACGTACACAATTTTTGAAAAGAGAAAATATTTTTGGTAATTTTTTTAAAAAAATTGACTCTTTTATTTACTATTTGAATATAATTGAAAATTAATAAAATAACACTTTAATTTTACTATTTGAGTATAATAAAATATTTTTAAAAATTTTATTTACTATTTGAGTATAATTGAAAATTAATAAAATAAAATTTTATTTACTATTTGAGTATAATTGAAAATTAATAAAATAATATTTTATTTACTATTTGAGTATAATTGAAAATTAATAAAATAATAAAATAACTTTTTAAATTTTATTATTCTAGTATAATAAAATATTTTTAAATTTTTATATATTGTCTGAGTATAATTGAAAATTAATAAAATGATAAAATAGCATTTTTAATTTTATATTCGAGCATAATTTTTTAAAAAAATTTATTTACTATTTGAGTATAACTGAAAAATAATAAAATATAATTTTAGTTACTATTTTAGTATAACTGAAAAATAATAAAATAATACAGTAAAATTTTATTTACTATTTGAGTATAATTAATAAAATAAAATATTTAATTTTACTATTTTGGTTTGATAAAATATATATTTTAAGTTTATTTACTATTTGATTATAATTGAAAAATAATAAAATAACATTTCTCTAATTATGAAAAATAATAAAATAATATTTCTCTAATTCTCATTTTGAAAAATAATAAAATAATAGTTTTTCAAAACCAAAACATAAAATCAAAGCTCACATTTGTAGAGTTTAGAATTGTGAAGTGAATATGAAAAGAGTATTCAAAAGTTTTGAAATATGAAGAGTCAAAAAAGAGTTATTAAACGCATTTTGTTTTCATTTAAAAAATAAAAAAAAACTAACAAAAACAAAAACGAAAATTGAAAACGTAGCTAAACAGGGCTTAATCACTTTAAGTTTCATTTATGTTGAACTGAGAAATCAAAACTATACTATGGTGATATAACGCAAAGGGCAATGCTTAAGTTCTCACTAGTCGCAAGAATAACACTTAGGTCATTACTAGTGAGGATCTACACCATCTTCACTAGTGATGTGAACCAATAATAAATATACATATCATTTTTAATTACTAAATTTAATATGGTGGGTAAATACTCACTTACCAAATCACAGAGATGGTGATTTATTATTGGTATATATCATTAGTGAGGATGGTGTAGATTATCACTAGTGAGGACCTAAATATTGTTCTAACGTACGAGTAATGCTTAGGTTCTCACTAGTAAAGATTTACACCATCCTCACTAATGATGTGAACCAATAATAAATATACATATCATTTTTAATTACTAAATTTAATATGGTGGGTAAATATCCACTTACCAAATCACAGATATGGTGATTTATTATTGGTCCACATCACTAATGAGGATGGTATAGATCCTCGTTAGTGAGGACCTAAGTATTATTTTAACGCAAGAGCAATGCTTAGGTCCTCATTAGTGAGGATCTACACTATTCTCACTAGTAATGTGAACCAAAATTATACAAAAGCATGAATTCCCCACATTCTGTACATGTTACATGAAAGAATTAGTTGAAAGTTGTTTCTAAGTACATGATGTACATTATTAAAAATACTGGGGAATGTTTATTAATTGACATTTGGGCTCTGTTTGTTTGAATGTAAAATATTTTTTTCAGATAAAATATGTTCTTTATTTTTAGTGTTCGGCAAAGGTTGAGATCTAATCGATCGGGTAACTCGTGTAAAATAACTTATCGAAAATTGATTAATAAGTTATTTTCACTACATTTTAATATTATTTTTCTTCGTAAATATTTTACAACAACTAAACACAAAAAATAAAAAATATTTTATATCCAAACAAACAAATGGGCATTCAAGGTCGAATTACAATACCAAAAAATCTTTAAAGTGATAGTTTGGCCAATATCAACATAATGAAAAGTAACTAATGTATATTAGTTTGGATGATATGATTTCTCCTCTTTAAAGGGGAAGATTCTCCTCTTTAAAAGGGAAGATTGAGGGTTGGAGTCTTATTAAGAATATTATTTGTGAGCGAACATGTGTATAGTGTATGATACTTTCAAAATTTCATTGACGCAGTGTTTAATGGCATAGAATCCACTGCTTAGAATTGAAACTAAGACTATATTAATCTAAATTTCAAAATAGTTTTCTTCTAATACCAATTTCAACACTATACTCCATGTCTCCATGGTACCACTTTATTATTATTATTATTATTATTTTTTTGCAATAACTGAGTTAATTTAAATTGGGTATTGCTTGTAAAATCAATTATAGTTCTGGCACCATTTTTTAAGCAATGGGCCAATGAGTACTTTGAATTGGGTCCTGCTGGCTGGACTCTCCGTGGTCCCGTCCATTTATTTCGTATGGTACATTATATATTTACTTGCTCAATTCAATTATCTGAACTTCCGGGAACCAAAAAAAAAAAGAAGAAGGAATTAATTTTTTTTCTCAGTAAGAAACCAAATTTGATTTCATACTAGATTTAATTTTATTTTAAAACATTTTCAAAAATCAAACACCAGAAAATTTTTCCCCAAAATAAAAACATTTGACATGTAATAAGTTTTATATGAAAAATATTTTTCACAAACATGCATGTAAATATATATATATTTTTTGAGTAAATAAGTATGCATAAAGGCGAAAACTTTACAAATGTACATGGCACATTCCCCAGGAGAAAAATATTGAGCCATAAGCCCATAGAAAAAACAAAACAACAAAAAAGGCAACAAGCCCAAAACAATAAAATTCATCCAGATTGTCCAAATAGTTGGCCCAATGTGAATATCAGAATCTCAAAACCTCAAACCCAGTCCATAAGCATGGGCGGGAATTCATCAAGAAGTTCTAAAGTGTCTCAGCAGAGGTTTGGGAATTGGTTATGGGCAGTTGTGGTGCTGGTTGTGGTTGTGGATGAGGATTGTGGAAATGAGTAGAAGAGGTTCGAGTGGCTTAGTTCGTAGAAAGAGCTGGGTAGGTTCCAATCCATTGCAATTTCTTCAGCGGGTATGAACATTTCTTGATGGAGAACAATTTGTATCTCACCAAATTCACAATTACATTGAGTGTTTTGGATGGATCACCACTCAGATTGCGGAAGATTTTGTTGTTGCGTTCTCTCCATATTTGGTAGACAAAGCTTGCCAGCATTAGCTTCCAAGTAAGTATTTTACAATCATTTGCTTTTTGCTTCCAATTTGAAGATGCTCAAATTAGGAAATTTTGCCAAGAATTAGGGTTTATAGTAAACCCACATTTCTATTGAATTCCATTCCAAACAAAATTTGAGTATGAACATTGGTGGAAAATGTGTTCATGACTTCCTGCATCACTTAAGCACAGTATATATACATTAGACTACATCGTACAATCCATTGAATGCTTGTCAAGAGTTGATAATTTTTCCTGGATTGCAACCCAGAAACAGAAGGAGTGCTTTGGGATTGGGATGTTTGAACCATACCAACTTGTGTCAATGTATAGTGGGGAGAGGGGGAGAGATGGCTGTGATGGTGTGTTTGAGAGAATACCTCTTTGTTGGTGCGGTCATTATTTCACTAACAAATTTGGTAAGGTGAGTGTAGTTAGGTCAAAGTGTGGGGATTTTTAGATAAGCTCGTAGGCCATGTCCATTGGTTATGAGTGGGGAGTTGAGACACTTTAATAAACCTGTTGATGAACCATCCCTATTTATGAAAAGAGTTTTGAGTTTAATACCTGATGAAGCCACAGGGCAATCAGTTATCAAAAAATACCATTGTACGTTGAAGAGCCATTATTAACTTTGTGCTTGATCAGAGGTTGTGCTAAGTGTCTGTTTTGCATCAATTTTCTCCAGAATCATGAGCACTGATTTGGAATATTGATATCACAGATGCTTTTCTGTTTGACAAGTGTTCTTCTGTCCAAGCCTTCCATATTGACTAGTCTTTTTACCGGGAGATAAAAAAAAAAAAATGGAATAAGTATTTTGCTTGAGGATTAAATGTGTGAGAAATAATTATATGGTTATGGCGCCATTGATCCCGGTGAATTATCATATGACATATTTACTTAGATGTCAAATATATTACTTTTTCCTTTTTTTGAAAAAATAAAAATAAATAAATAAATTTCAAGTGAGCCCCCTTATGTTGCTGTACTTAAAATTTATTTGTTGTAACTTAGGTAAGACATCAATGTATCCAATGTAAGACACTTTTATGTAATCAACCAAATGCATTAATATTGAGAAATTTGCTCAATTCAACTGAAAGAGTATACTAGAAAACAAGTAAATTAATTATTCAAATTGAAAAGTACGTCCCAATAAACCTGACAAATGCTAGCCAAATCAAAAATAACACTACAGATATCAAATTGATAATCTCGAACCATATAACCATCTGAAGAATCACTTCCCAACTTTTGCAGTCATGGATCCATCCTTAGTTTTTAATTGCAGCTATTTTTCGTGCAGGGTACCATACGGCTGGCATTGGGGCTGGCATTGGAGATGGAGACGAAATTGCACCACCAATTGGGAAAGTAAAAGATGGCGCGGGAGCTAAATTATTCGGTTGCACAGTAATGGCTAGCTTCTGTTCACCATACGCACAATGCATGCCAACGCCACAAATGTACCATTTCTTCCCGGGTGTGGCTAGGGTGATCACATCATTTCCGGTCGTCAGAGCCTCACTGGGAGGTGGCTTCATGCACGCTTTGAATGCAGTTCCATTCACTTTGAAGACATTGTGATCTCCCACAGGATATTTGAACACTGCACACACACACACATATATATCAGATATCAAATTGATTAAAATGGTTGGTTTTTTAGAGTGACTAGCTAGCTAGTCTCATTTCTAAAATTTAAGGTATCACAGAAGCACAAAATTTACAACTATTGAGCATATATATGATTCAAAGTTAAAAAATTAAAGTAGTAGTAGAGATAAAAGTACCTAGTGTGTCTCCGACCACAAATTCCTTTCCCTCGGCCCAGTCTTGGTAATCAGGGCCTACGTCCCAGCCGGCATCATCCCCAACAATGAATTCCTTAGCAGAAACTGAAATGGAGAGTGCAAGGATGGCAACGATGATGATATGGGTGGTGGCCATTGTATTATCTTACTTGTGTTTTCTTCAAATGAATTATAAGGAGTGAGTACTACAATAATTAGGAGATGAAATGGTGCCTATTTATAGATTTCTAATGCATATGGACCGGGATGGCGGGTCCCAATTCATCGCAAAGATCAATGATGCAACATTTAAAAAAACATGTTTGTCTTGAATATATACGCATTTTTTATATATGCAACAACGAATTTTATTAGTACCAGAATGATTTTGAGTTATTCTTGAATATATATGCGTGTTTGTCTGTTTGCAAATTTAGGCGTAGAGTTTGAAGTTCAATTTATAGAGTTTTTAAGTCCTTAATATTAAGGAACCAACCGGCTCAATGTTGTGAGCTAGATTAAATTATGCAACAATGAATGTTTAAAATATACATATGGGTTGAGCTGTTCATTTATCATGGTACTATGACTGGGTCAATGAACAAGAAAAATTACAAAGATTACAAAATCTCTCTGACTTGTTCTTTTAGAACATTGAAATTATAATTGGCATTGCTTTAAACCCATCTTAGAGAGTATCTAATCAGGCTGTGGAATTTGAATTAAAAGAAATTTGCTTTAAATTACTAATTTAGTACTCCCAAACACAGCATATATGTTTTGTGATTAAGAATCAACATTACGGATCTTATTTGAATATAGGCACCCTTTGGGCTTCTTCAGTTTCTTTGGATTGGTAACTTTAAAGGATTCACTCTGTAATTGATATATTTATTTATGCTTTTTCTAGTTTGGTGATAAATTAATAATTGAACTACAAGTTTTTCAACAATTTTTGCTCAAATGAAGGTACCGTTTTCATTTAATTTTACAGCTGATCAAGTAGCATATTGACGCGGTTGGATGAGAAGGAAGAAGAAAAATTATGAGACAATAAAACACAACTAAGAAAGGAGTTGGATAAACAAAGAGCTATGCTCTATAATTTCATTACAAAATATAAATTCTAGTTCTGTAACTTCTTCACTCCCAGCACATATAAATATAAGACTCCAACTTCAACACTACATTGATGAAGCTTCAACTCCCAACTCAAACCACAAGGCTTAAGATTGACAACCTTAAATTAAAAAAACCTTCCAATACCCAAAATACCAAGCAAATAAATACAAGTTGTTGAGGAGAACAAGTAATTTTCCAAGACATCTCATGATCTTCCAATTAGCCACTTAAGAATCCGCATGTTGTTGACAAGGCTACAAAGTAGGCACTACATCATCCTCCCCGTGTGAGAAAGAACTCGTCCACGAGTTTGCAACCAGCTCTCTATGATATCCTGACAAATCTCGAACATTGAAAGTAGGATGGGTATGAATATTGGGGGGAAGTTCAACCTTGTAAGCATTATCATTGATTTTCTTGAGAACCCGACATAGACCAACCTTCTTCTCCTTGAGCTTGTTGTAAGACCCGGCTGGACATCTTTCTTTTTTCAAGTAAACCCATACAAGATCTTATTCCTTGAAAATTTTAATTCACCGATGAACATTAGCAGCTTCCTTGTACTTCTCATTGCTTTCTTCAAGTTTCTTTCTCACTTCTTCATGAACTCTTACCATGGATGTAGCAAAATCCTCAATCCTCTTATTAGGCAAAGAGGGAATAGGAATTGGTGCAAGGTTAAGGTAGTGTCTTGGAGCTTACCCATAAACCACCTCAAATGGACTTTTTCCAGTAAAACGATTCACCGCATAATTATAGGTAAATTCAGCTTGAGGAAGAAACATGTCCCAATGCTTGGGTCTTTTTGCTGCCAGTCCTCTAAGCAAATTCCCCAAGGTTCTATTCACCACTTCAGTTTGTCCATCCGTTTGGGGATGATAGGCACTACTATAAAGCAAACTAGTACCAATCCTCTTCCACAAACACCTCCAAAAATGACTAAGGAATTTGGTATCCCTATCCGAAACAATGGACTTGGGAACACCACGAAGTTTAACCACTTCATTAAAATAAAGATTGGTAACATAAGAGGCGTCCATAGTCTTCTTGCAAGGAATAAAATGAGCTATTTTAGATAACCGATCAACAACCACAAAAATGGAGTAATTACCTCTTTGTGTTGTTGGTAAACCCACCATAAAATCCATACTAACATCTTCCCATGGAGCCTTAGGAAGAGGTAATGGAGTGTAAGCACCAATATTTTATGTTTGCCCTCTACAAGTTTGGCATACTTGGCATCTCTTCACATAATGGGTCACATCTCGATAAATGGTAGGCCAAAAATATTTTTCCTTCACAAGCAAGACGGTTTTGTCTCTCCCAAAGTGTCCTCCCAAGCCTCCCGAATGAAGTTCTATAATGATATACTCTCCAAGTGAGCATTTTGGAATGCACAAACGAGCTCCTTTAAAGAGAAAATTATCCTGGAGAAGATAGTTTTGGTGTCACCCTTCTTTACAAAGTTTCCAAATTTCACCAAAATCTTCATCTTTGGCATACATGTCTCTAATGGCATCAAACCCTTCAAGTTGAACACTCATGGAATTTAGAAGTGCCACTCTCCTACTAAGAGCGTTTGCCACTTTGTTACATTTGCCACTTTTATGTCTCAACATAAAAGTGTACTCTTATAAGAAAGAAACCCATTTTGCATGTCTTCGGTTCAAACTTCCTTGGTTGTTGATGTACTTGAGAGCTTCATGATTGGAATTCAAAGTGCTTGAACAATGGAATAAAATTCCACATCATAAGTAGAGTATTTCTTCCTAGCTTCATTGAATTTTTCAGTAAAGAAGGCAATCGGATGACCTTCTTGGCTAAGTACCCCACCAATGCCCACATGAGAGGCATCACAATCAACTTCAAAGATTTTTTCAAAGTTCGGCAAAGCAGGAACGGGTGCGCTGGACAATTTTTCTTTAACAAGCCGGCAAAGCAGGAAGATTTGGGAGTTTTTTCCTCTTTACTTAGTAAGAGAACAATTTCTAATTTACCCATTTTAAAGGAGTAGGTGTTCTTACGACCATTATGGGTAACACTTTTATCATATTGCCAAGGTCTTCCTAGGAGTATGTGACACACATCCATAGGAACAACATCACACCACACTTGATCATTATAATTTTTGCCCATAGAAAATGAAATAAGACACCTTTTGGAGAATTTTACCTCATTTCCTTTCTTGAACCATGCAATCCGATAAGGCTTTGGATGAGGCTCGGTTTTAAGCTTAAGCTTGTTCACCAATTCTTGTGAGACGATGTTTTCACAACTCCCACCATCAATAACAATTGTACACACTTTGCCTTGAGATTTGTAACGAGTTTTGAAGATATTAGACCGAAGCCAATCTTCATTGGATTCAACTCTAGGAGTGGCAAGTGCTCTTTGGATCACCAAGCTTTCGCCTTCTTCGGGTTCAATCTCCTCACGTTCGAATTCACATTCTTCATCATATATGGGCTGATTTGAATCATCAAAGACCCCGTCATCAATGTCTTAATTACCAAAAGCCACATGAGCATCAACTTGCCTCTTTGGACATTGGTTGTAACGATGCCCAACTTGGCCGCAATTGAAACAAGACATAGGATTGTTGTTGCGACTAGATTTAGCTCCAACATGGTTGGTAGGGGTTGATTTTCTAGAATTTTTACTCGCGTCTCCAAACTCGGAATTAGTTCCTCCACCACATGAAGATTCTCCTTTAGAAGAAGGATAAAGACAACGAACATCCACAAAATTTTAAGCACCACCACGAGCCAGTTTAGCCTCAACTTTCAAAGCTAATTAGTAAGCATCATTGACCCTCTATACTCGATAGATTTCTACTTTATGGCGAATTGGAATTTTTAACCCACCAACATATCTTGAAACAAGTTGTTCTTCAGTTTCTTAAATGTCATTCCAGGCCATGAGTTTGTAAAATTATTCGGTGTAATCTAACATACTCTTTGAATCTTGGCGAAGGTTGTTAAATTGAGAAAAATAACTTAATGCAAAATTCAAAGGTAGAAATTTCTCTTGAAGCCTAGATTTCATTTTCTCCCATGAAGTAATTTTAGGCTTTCCCTTGCGAAGCCTAATCTCTTGAACTTTGTCCCACCATGCTGAAGCATAACCTCGAAGCCTTGTTGCCACAAGCTTCACTTTTTGATTATCGGGTGTTTATTTGTAATCAAAGAGTTTCCCAATGGCACTAAGCCAATCAAGAAACTCTTTGGGCTGAAGACGACCATGGAACTCTGGTAAATCAATCTTCACATATTCAGAATCACGATAGAACCTTCCCAACCATAGCCCTACACAATTGGCAAAACGGTTCTTATCGGACTCGTCAGTAGAAGACCCACGACTTGATCTACCCTACTTGCAATAAGCTTCTTGGCGTTCCAGCCACAAGGTAAGTTGTTCAACTTGTCTTCGAAGTGCTTGAAGTTCAACATCTCTTTCATCCCTTAAATCTCCCATCATACGGTTGCCATTTCTTCCTCTACCTCTTCTAACTGCCATGAAACAAGAACACTAAAAGTCAGCCCGAGAGCGTAGCGCAAGCTCTGATACCAAATGATGCGGTTGGATGAGAAGGAAGAAAAAAATTATGAAACAATAAGACACAACTAAGAAAGGAGTTGGATAAACAAACAGTTATGCTCTATAATTTCATTACAAAATATAAATTCTAGTTTTGTAACTTCTGCACTCCCGGCACATATAAATATAAGACTCAAACTTCAACACTACATTGATGAGGCTTCAACTCCTAACTCAAAACACAAGGCTTAAGATTGACAACCTTAAATTAAACACACCTTCCAATACCCAAAATACCAAGAAATAAATATAAGTTGTTGAGGAGAACAAGTCATTTTCCAAGACATCTCATGATCTTCCAATTAGCCACTTTAGCATTTGTACGTATGTTGTTGACTAAGCTGCCAAGTAGGCACTGCATCACATATTTAGGCTCCGTTTGTTTG